AAAATACAATTTTTTATTAAGCGAGAATGTCAAAAGTTGACATATGATATGTCATTCTATTCAGAATGTCATTTTCTATCGAATAAACTAAAAAAATACCGAGGGTGCCATTTAAAAATCAAAAGTTGTAGTCATTTCCGGTGAAACCGGAAGTGACCAAAAACAATTGAATACACCAATCAATCCTAATTTATGTCATATACTAACATACCAAATCTCGTTTATTTATCTGAAAAAATAAAAAAGTTAGAGGGGTGAACCACTTTTGAAACGCACCCGGTATATGTTATAGTAAATCTGGATATAAAGATATAGTTTGCAGTGTCTTCTTTGTTACCCTTCAGGAATAATTGACCTTCACAAGTTTACAATAAGAAAATTTTGTGTATTTTAAAGCATGCTTGTAATTCCGAAAGAGCTTGTTCTATACCTATTCAATTTTATCATAAAATTCTAGTATCTATTCAGGAATAAAACTACAAATATGGACTACGAATATGGAATTACAAATGAACTGAATTAACAAAAAATTATGACATAAATTCTAATTTAGGAAGAAATAATAGATTCGTAGAGGAATGAATAACAGTCCGATTTTGGTTATAAGATAGAATTAGAAATAATAACAATAACGATAATAGAACAATATTTTAAGACAAGATAATAGTTATTTAGTATTAAGTGTTTCCTCCTCTAGCTCAGCGCAGAAGATCTTGAAAGCTTTCTTGCGGAATTCTATTCCATTCTTCTTTTGCAGCAATTCTTAGTTCTACAATTGAGTTAGGAACTGGATTTCGTCCTCGTATATTGTATAGATGTTCTATGGAACTAGTATCAGGACTCATTGGTGACCAATCTAGTGCCTCAATTCCAACATCCTCGAAATATCGACTCAATGTTCTTGCGGCATGGGCGCAGGCAATGTCACGAATTAGCACAAAGCCATCGTACCCATTAAAGCCAGCATAAGGCAAAACATGATCTTCAAGGATATTGACTATGTACCATTCATTCTTAAATTAACTTAACAAGCTCCGTACGACTCTCCCAACTAATACCTTCCCAAAGCATAAGGGAACCGCCACAAAATTAAAGGTTTGTTTAAGATTACTTTCTGCGAACCTTTCGCTAGATCTTCTATAGACTCGGCCACGTCCATCTGGCTTCCACAATTATTGTATTCTAGTTTCATCTGTAAAAAGTATTTTTCTCCATTGATGCTCATTGCAATTAGCATAGACACTTGCAAATTATAACCGTCTGATTTTGTAACGTGGAAGAAGCCTAGGGATTCTAGCAGAATGTTTCGGATTTAAAGACTCTTTCAATCTTCTTATTACTGTTTTGATACATACGTTAACTTGGCTGTCTGAATAAACTGGCTGATTGATTTCGCAAAGACTGTATTCTCAAATATTGATCATCCCTTGACGTTGTACATCTTTTACGCCCTTGACCAGATTGCTTTTTGTATTCTCCAGTCTCCTGTTTTGCTATACGAGAAAAAGTTGTTTGATGGATGTAGTAGTAGTATATTATCTTCTTGTCTGCAACCCTCAATGAATAAAGTTACAATTTTAACAGAAACTAACACGCTTAAATGTGGCATCTTATTCACAGAAAAAAAAACAAAATCGATCAGTTTAGATAGGGGTCCATATTTTACACTATGACACTTACCTAGTTATGCGGTGGAGAAACTCACCAGGGCAAAGACAGGCGAAAAGGTTCATTGTAGAACATTCACCAAAATTCACGGTAGACTTGATAGCAAGTCTAAGAGATAAGCAAGGACAGAAAGACAGTCAAAGCTGTAGTAGGTCTAATAACAGGGCATTGTAAGCTAAATAGGCATCTAAAACTGATGGGATTGACAGACGAAGCTATGTGTAGGTTCTGCCAATCTGAAGAAGAAACGTCAGAACACATTTTATGTCGGTGTGACAGCCTGGCAAATGTGCGGTTCCCGGTAATAGGCAATGATAGGCCATTGCCAAGGAGCTACATGGAGGGTTCAGTCTCCAAGCTGCTAAACTTTGTGAAAAGGATAGGACTGGAGAATGTAATCTAAGGATCAGAAGAGGACCATAATAGATCTGAGAAGGTCGCAGTGGACCAGGCCGAAAGCCACCTCTAAGAATCTAATCTAATCTCTACCTAGTTATGCCACAGAATCGTATGCTTTCATATCGTTATTAAATTCAATTTTGGATTACGATTAATTACTTTCTGAATTCTAGTGATATCAGAAATATAATAATATTCCTAATAATTAAAGAAATCATTAATAATAATAACAGATTAGTGTAACATTTTATGCAAATTAATGCAATATTATGAGTATTTTTTAGATTTACCATTTAATCGGTCAAACACAATTACGACTTTTTTTTATTTTACTCTCATTGATTTGAGTAAAATTACGCGTGCTGTTACTATATTTATATCAAATTCCTAAATCACGATATACAGTAATTGCCGCGTACTGCAGTAAGTATTCAATAATTATTCGTATTCGAAATTACTTTTACCTCATGTCTTACTTTGCACCATTTGAATAATTATTTGCTAATTTAAATAAACAAACTTTCAGGTCCTTTTTTATTTTAATTACATATAATTTAACGCCAACTTTTTGTAAAATATTGGTAGCATTATAAAATAATCTAAATAATTTCTGGACCGTGCGCATATTTCAAGTTTACTTTTACAATAATGCACTAAACCGCATTTTTCATTTGGAATATTTTGTCGTGATAGTTAGTTTGACAAAAAAGAGTTATAAACTTTTATAAACAATATTTTATTTCCGCTTACTTCCGTTAGAAATCTAGAACAAAATCAATAGACAGATAATTTGTACAACCGTATCTAGATCTGGACATACCCAAATTTTATATTTTTCTAATTAGTTGCATAAAAATATTTAGATTAATTTTGAAATGGTTATAAAAGCTTCAAAAATATTTCAAAATATACAGGGTGGTCCTAACTTCGGATTCCGGAAACTTCGGCAGCATATTCTGCAGATAAAAATAAGTAAAAAAGTTCGTATAAATGTAGGTCCTAAAATGCTTATAGTTTCGGAGATACAGGGTGTAGAAATTTCATTTTTATTTCGATTTTTTTCAGATAATTTCTGAAGAAACGTCAATATATGGATGAAAATTGGTCTCTGGGAGTTTTTTGTTATAACAAATTTGATTTTGATGTCAATATGACTACTACTTCTAAAAGGCTCTACTTACATATTTTAACTGATCTGAAAAGTAATAACTTTTCGTCCGTACCTGCATAAAACTACTGAGTGAAAAAATAATGTTTGTTCCAACCGGACGAGAGAACCGTCCTAGAACGGTAATTTCCTATCAGTCAATTCATTTGTTAATCTTGATAAACGATCAAACTTTTCAAACAATAAGTGGGCGACTAGAAATTACCGTCCCAGGATCGGTTCTCGGTCCGGTTGGAACGAACCTATATACATTCTTGGCATACAGTCTTGGTAAAAATCTCTACGAGCAGCCGTTCTCAAGATATTTAAAATGGTAGTAGTCAATACATGGCATTATTGACAAAAATAAACATGTTAAATAGTTATTTGACTGAAATGATAAATTTAGGAACTTTTATTTTCTTTTAAATTAATCATAAATTTTTCTTCAAAAAAATAAGGATAAAACAGTTACTGTTGCACTTTAAAAGTTCAACTGTTGGGCCAAAATTTGTCCCAAAAATATTTCAAATTTATGATTTCAGTCTAAGAACTATTTTGTCAACATATTTAATTTATGTCAATGATGACAGGTATTGATAATTTAGATTCCAAATATCTCAAGAACCATTACTAATAGCGATTGTTACTAAGAGACCTTTTTTGCGTAAAAAACGTCGTCATTGTATATTTTTTAACTCAGTAGTTTTATACAGGTACGGATGAGAAGTTATTACTCTTTAAACCAGTTAAAATATGTAGGTGACGCCCTCTACAAGTAAGAATCATATTAACATCAAAATACGATTTCTCATGTCATGCAACTAAACCAAAACAAAACTCCCAGGCACCAATTTTCATACAAATATTGACGTTACTTAAGAAATTTTTTGAAAAAAATCGAAATAAAATAAAAGTTTTACACCCTGTATCTCCCAAACAAAGCATCTTAAGACATACATTTATACGAACTTTTTTACTTATTTTTATCTACAGAATATGCTGCCGAAGTTTCCGAAATACAGTTCGGACCATCCTGTATACTAAATAATATATATTTTTTTTTATTCGATGTATTTAAACAGCCGTTAAACAGTAGCCTACTAAATGCCGTTAATAGATATTGTGACGTCGTTCATGTCGGCGGAAAGTAATGCCTAGCCATAAGCATATTGCAAGAGCACCTGTGGCTCCGTGGCTGAGGCTATCAGTTCGTGAGCGAATGGTCCGGGGTTCAAATCTCACGCTGACCAAGACTTTTTTATATTTTTTTTTGCTTATAGTGTGATCTTATTCCATTGGTTTCACTCTGTTTGGTTGGATTGGTTTAGTTATTTGGCGGGTTGGTTAGCGTGGTTATTTGGAGGGTGTTAATTCATTGGTTATTTGGTGGGGTTGGTTGGTTTTTACTAATTTATATTTGTTTTTTAATTTTTTTTTTATCAGTGTCGAGGTTAGTTGCGTTGGTTAAGATGTTTATTTGGTGGGGTGGATAGCGTTGGTTAGTCCTTATAAAATTCCTAAATTTCATAAAGCCGTCAAGTGCGTCACATCTACGACGTCATACCTATTAACGGCATTTTAGTAAGCTACCGTTTAACGGCAGTTTAAGTACAGCCTTTTTTATTTAATAGACTATCTTACAGTGCGACTAGCGAAATACCCATGAGACTTTTCGGTATGACAGTTTGAAATACAAGCGATTACATATCTTTTACTTGTGGTTGAATTTTATTGTATAAATAATGAATATACTGTAAATTTATAATAATCATTCTGGTTTCAGGTCCGGCACTGAGTGGAACGCTTATTAAAAATATTGGATTCGAATGGATGCTGTTTGGAATAGCCATCCTCGATTTTATTTATGCTCCGCTGTTGTACAGTCTGAAAAGTCCACCCACCAAAGAAGAGAAAAAGGTAACAATATTAATTGCCTAAATAATTAATTATGAGGTATTCTTAAATTTATATGAAAATTTAATGTCTAATTCGAAAAACAATTTCCACAAATAATATTAATAGTTTTTATAACAAAGATAGACCTCCCTGGCGAATCTAGCGAAAGTGCTCTTCATTTAGTTCAAAACGATGAACGGTTTTCAAGATATATGCGTTTATAAAGGTTACGATGCCCGATGATTGTAGTATTAGCGAAACCATGAGATGTAAGAAAATCTATCACATGAAATTTTTAAGAATTTGAATGGTGTGAATTAAAACAATTAAGAATGTAGTTACGCAGTAGCAGATTTACGTAGTTAGCAGATATGATCTAAAAAATTTCAAGATGTTTCAAGTGAGGGCTGTAGGGGCTGCAAATACTTTTCCAGGGCTGTAACTTCCTGAGGAAGCATTTTATGGCATATTTTCATAGGAGCTTTTTATTTCATTTTTATCTGTAGAATGACCCTCTAAAAATGGTACATTATTTTTTTGACACCTTGTATATGTAAAAATACACTTTGATGCTTAAATATAAAATAACATTTACACCAAAATACTTTTTGATAACTTTAAAAGTTAAGAAATTAACGCAAGTGTCTAAAAAATGTCTATACCTCTGTGGCAGATTCATCTCTTCAAAAAAGTGTCAAAAGAATCGCCACTGCCACTGTAAGAAAATCAGAAAATGTCAAAATAAAACACTCTTTTTTCAGTCCTTCACCCTACTTGAGAGTATAGTGATATCATGTATTGATTCCCCTCACTTCCTCACATGATGTCACTATCATGTATTGATTCCCCTCACTTCCTCAGACCAAGTTGTTCGACACTGCTCCATATGTGGGCATACTGCTTCAGGCAGGCTGTGGCCCACTCTGGTACTTTTGACTTGGCCCACCCACCTCTTAGGTGATCTCCCACGTGATCGCCTTCCCTCTACCTTCCCCTCCACCACCATCAGTGGCACCTCCATTGAGGTGCCACTCCTGGCAATATGGCCAAATTATCGCAGGATTGACTGATTTAATTTTGTGACCAGACGTGTCTCAATTTTTAGTTCTTCAATAATGAAAATCTTTATTCGGTAAGCCGTAAATTATATTCGTGGGAGGTGCACCACGTAAAGGTGAGGTTGACTTAACGGTAAGCTGGGCACTCGGCTGGGCATATGTATCGCTTCAATACCCCTTGCACGAGTAAGTAAGTAAGTAAGTAAGGTATTCGCAGCAGTCGATATAGCCACATCTCCAAGGGGTTTATTCTTTGTTTATCACTTTCGTTTAGTGTCCAGGTTTCAGAGGCATATATAGCTATGGGCAAAATAAGGGAGTTCGCAATGCGCAGTTTAGTTTTCCGTGTGTTGTCCAAACCAAACCTTCCCTATCTTAGTCAGTTTTGTTGTTGCATTCCCCGCCATTGCCACTCAAATAAAATACAATAAATGCCTTTATTGTCAAAAAATTTTACAATTTGTAGACAAAGGTAAAGTAAAAACAAACAAACAAACAAAAGAGAATACAAAGCAAGTACACCAATTACAATGTCAGTCTTATTGTTTAAAATAAACATTTATAAATGTTTACAATGTCAAAGAATAAAAAAAAAATAAAAATAAGAGTCAAAAATATTTTGAAAGTTTATAGTAAATATAGTAATAGCAAATATTAGACCAGTGTTTACAAGATCAAATTCGATTATCAAAATATAAGTCATTTACGGCGTAGAAAGCCTTGTCTAGTAAATAAGATTCCAATGCTTTGCGAAATGAAGAAAATTATGTTATGGATTTGATTTCAAATGGCAGGTGATTGTGCATTTTTTTCGAGTTGTATAATATTGAACTTATAACTAACTCTGAGCGTGGGGTACGCGTTTCTGAGTGGATAAGTGTGAGATTGCCTTACTTGAGAAGCTGATACATGCTTACGTATTAGGCAAACGGATTCAATGCGTCCGCGCGTCCAATGCAAACGTAAAAGTCTTTTGCTGTTGCAACACCAAAAGTTCCAACCCCCAACTGTAATGAAGAAAATGTACAACGCTACAGTTTCTTATTAGAAATAATTTTAAATTATGATTAACAGATCAAATGACTTACCTGTAGGAAATTTGATCCTAATTACACGATCAGTTTTGTCCGAAGTACTACATAAAAGGAATACAAATAGAATAAGTCTTGTCTTGCTGAAATCCGTGCGACATACAAAAATAAACGTGGCAACGCCGCTCCGCACCGTCCTCGCCGCGACTCGCCCCACCAATGTCATTATAAGTTTTGATAAGAGATCGGCTTGTGAGGGGTGGGAGTGACCAAGGCTCTAGGTATAGTTGTGATGTGGTTCATACATAATATTAATTATCACTGTTATTATTTTATAAGATGGCGTGGGTTATGTAGTACTTCGGACAAAACTGATCGTGTAATTAGGATCAAATTTCCTACAGGTAAGTCATTTGATCTGTTAATTACACTTCTCAGTTTTGTCCTCGTACTACATAAAAGGAATACAAATAGAGTAGCTGTTTAGAGAATGAAAAGACGATCTCTAGAAAATAGCTTTATTCCCTATAAGCTTTGTATAATATATACTTAAGTAATTTGTATATATTTATAGGAAAGGCACCTTTTAAAGGTGTGTAACGAAATATAATAATATAACCATTAAACTGTATGTTTACATTGTAACAAACATATAGGTATATAACGTAATTACAAGGAACAGAACGCACTAAATCTTAAAGTAAGGAACTCTTATTTTAACAGGTAATACTGGATCCTTGGAGGACCCCTTTTGCAAAGAGATCCGCCGGTGTTGATATTGGTTTATTATAAAATTTATTAAAAACGTTTGATTTTTCAGTCCATCCTGCATATTTTCTTATTTCCTCAATGTTAACTCCGCCTCGGTATGCGGCCGAAGTTGAGGCATGCCGAGTGCTGTGGCCTGAAAATTTGCTTGTATCAACACCCGCGGATTTTAGAGTCGAGCGGATCCATCTACTTATCGTTTGGCTTGTGGCCGTATGATAAGGTTTCCTGTGTGTCAGTATTAAATAATCATTATTATCGGCGCGGAGGCTTTTAGTTGTGTTTAGATAAAATAAAACCGTAGATGCTAAACACAACCCTGGTTTGTCTCTAAAGAATGGTAACTTTAGCACAGGTTGAAATTTATTTTTCCCGCTAGTTTTGACGGTATCTGGGATCAGTATTTCGATCCTATCATCAAACTGATTTATATAACTTAATCTAATTTTTGAGAATGTTTGTACTCTATGCGCCGTAATAATTGCTAACAAAGTAACTAACTTATGTGATAACTTTTCTAAGGATAAAGTACTTAAAGGAAACATATTTTCTAACAGACTCAGTACTGGGTGAGGATCCCAGGTTGTATTGTATTTTGGCCTTGGTGGCCTTTGGTTATAAATGCCTTTTAAGTATCTTTTAATTATTCCCTCATCTCGAGTGTCGATGGGGAGTACAAAGGATAATGCTGACTTGCACGCGTTAATGGACGAATAAGAGTTAGAGTTATCTACTTGTATACTTAGAAATTTAATAAAGGTAGTAAGGTCGTAGGACCATTTATCGTGATTTATGTCACAACAGAAACCCCACCATTTTTTAAACCAGGTGTCATATTGTTTTAGTGTACTGTCAGCTACTGATGCTACTATGGATGCAATGGCCTCTTCGGGAAACCCTTTCTTTACAAAGGCTTCCCTGATAAATGGCCGGCAGCCAGGGTAATTGTCCGCCATAAGGGGTGAGGTTTCCTGAAAGGCGATAAAAGTAAGGTTTTACTTGGCTTAAAGAATAATATTTTCCCCACAACCAATCTCTTAAACAGGGGGAACCAAGGTTGTGTGGGCCACCATGGTACTACGACTAGACCTTCTGCCTTGTCCATTATGATTTTATTAAGCATTTTTAATATTAGGCTAAATGGGGGAAAGGCATAAAAGAAATCCTGTGACCAACATGTGGTAAAACTATCAGTTCCCGATGCTCCCGGATCCGGTTTCCAAGAATTATACCTTGCGCATTTTGCGTTAATTCGACTGGCAAAAAGGTCTATTTGCGGAGTTCCATGAATGCGGCATAAGCGTTTATAATGAATATTATTTAATTCGTATTCCGTATCAATATTTTTACAGCGAGACTCAGAATCTGCCTGTTTATTATTTTTAGAGCTAATGTATGTTGCAAAAATATATAAGCCTTTTGATTCGCAATATTGCCAGATATGTCTGGTAATAGTGTTAAGTTTTCTGTGTCTAACGCTACCCATTTTATTAATTAATGCTATGGCAGTGACGTTATCTATTTTCAATAGTATGTTCATATGTGTAAAAGACTTGGTAAACGCTTTTAAACAATGAAAAGCTGCTGCCAATTCTAACCAGTTTATGTGATTTTTTGATTCTTCTTGTAGCCAAAAACCGTGAATGTTCTCGTTATTACAACTACCGCCCCAACCACTGTTTGAAGCGTCTGTGAAAATAGTGATGTCGTAGTTGCCTTGAAAAATTGGAACATATGAACATGCTATGAATTCTGCCACCACTCAAGGTCTGATCTGACCCCTCGCGATAAGGATATATTATGATTGTATGATTTTCCGCTCTTTAGGGCTTTATACTTTTCCCCTCGAGAGATTTTATATACAGTGGTCCGTACCTTACTGCTGGGCAGGCTGCTACTAAGTGACCAATTATTTTAGCGAAAAGCTTTATGGAACAGATACGTATTAACAACACGTCATTGATTAAAGATATGATTAGCTGGCTTTTTTCTGAGGGTAGCGAAAGACGCATGTTTTTCGAATCTATGAAAAAGCCCAAAAAACAACAAGTATTATTGGGATTTAACTGACTTTTATCGTAGTTTACGTTAAAACCAAGATTTGCCAACACTTGTAGGGTTAGGGTGATGTCTTTTTTGCTTTTCTCCATAGTAGGGCTGATGAGGAAAAAATCATCTAAATAACAAACGCAGATTATGTCACGTGTTCTAAGGAAATGAAGTACGGGCTTCATTATCTTTGTAAAGATGAACGGGGCCGAACAGACACCAAAAGGTAAGGAATTAAATTGAAATAGTTCGTTTTGAAAGCAAAACCGCAAAAATTTCCTATATTTTTCATTTATCTGTATTGAAAAATATGCATCCCTTAAGTCTACTAGGGTAAAAAAAACAACCAGGGTATGTTAATTTAATGGCAGTGCGATAATCCTCAAGTTTAAAGTGGGGGGCTTCTAAGTGACAGTTTAAAGATTTTAAATTAAGTATGAAACGGTACTCACCGTTTGTTTTCTGTCTTAGAAAATATGAAGAAACATATTGTGTTTTTGAACTTGTACAACGGAAATGGCGCCCATTTCCAACATGCTGTCAATTAATTTTTTACAATTTTCATGTTCTAACCGTGTTAACTTAGGTTCTTTAATGGAATGTCTTGTAGGGGGGGATGATATGAAGTTAAATTTAATTCCCCTTAACCAACTTAAAACTTGAGGGTTACTTGTCAGCATTTCTCAATAATGTAATCTAGATCTAGTCTTGCCGACACACATGTGCGGATCATTTTTTATGCTCACCATTAATATTGGGTCCTTTTCTTTTTCTGCCGGGCTTGGTTGTATGAGACCCCTTGGGTGTTCCGACCCTTCGCTTTGTAGTTCCATTGGTTCTTGTATTTGGACTTGTATATATATATATATATATATATATATATATTTGGACGGTTCAAGCTTTCGTTTAAACATGTTGCAATTTCCATGTTTAGTTTAGGTGCGAGTAATTCTTTACAGTTTCCTACGATAGGGTAACTGTCGATCAAAGCTTTTTTGTCATCTTTTTCAACCCCTTTTCTTAGAAATTCGCTCCAGCGCATTACAATATCTTCGTGAATGTTTTCTCCAAACTGTGGGGTAAGGTTTGGTTGTTTACCTATGATAATAAATAATTACATTTATTATTGTTTCCCAAACTGTTGGGTAACTTTTGTATATACCTAATAAGGTAATTATTGCGTCCGAGGTGTTTGGTTTGTTACTGCCTGCATTTATCGCCGGGCTATCGATGGGTTCAAGCGGAGATTCACTGGGCTCCGCCTTCCCCTTTCGGAACCAGAGTGATTATCTTCACTGGAAGAATCATCACTGCCGGAGGATGATGCGTCATCGCCTGCAATGAAACGCATAATTATTAAGTTTGTTGACCACTGGGCCTTCAAACAAAATATTACTGTCAACCATACTTCGCAAGACCACTGGGTCAAGGAGTTAGGTTAGGTTAAATATTAAAATTCACACATAGTTGTGCAATTCTTTATTTAAAGTATGGTTAACCAGAGAGTATAGAGGTGATAATTTACTGAAAACACGCCTCCCCCCCATTTCCATGTGCACTGTTTTACCTAGGTTATGAAAAAACTGATAATACTTACTTGATACATCCTCTAAACGCTCCCAAAGTTGGTTTAGGCGATTCTGCTTCCGTTTCAGCCTCTTTTTAATTTCATTTTTGGACCTGTTTCTACCCATTTCGCCGTAAACACGTAAAAAACACTTTACAAAACACTCGACGCACGAACCTCGTTGACGACAAAACTTATAATGACATTGGTGGGGCGAGTCGCGGCGAGGACGGTGCGGAGCGGCGTTGCCACGTTTATTTTTGTATGTCGCACGGATTTCAGCAAGACAAGACTTACTCTATTTGTATTCCTTTTATGTAGTACGAGGACAAAACTGAGAAGTGTAATTATCATTGGAAATTACTTCCTCAAAAAAGACAATATAAAAGTTGTATAAAGCGTCTTAAAATTATTGTTTTTTTTTCAGTCGTTGATAACAGGCGAAAATTCATCAGTGAGGTACGTCACATACCAAAACGAAGATGAGGATGAATAAACAGAATTTATGAGAAGAGGATATTAGTGTAAAGAAGTTGTACAGAAATACACTAAAAATATAATAGTTGATCTATTCTTATAAATGTCTATTTTTAATTCTCTAGTTCAACATTTAAAAGATTATATCAATTAAAGATTTAGTATGTACAAAGAAAGGTATCCAACCAGCGCGATCAAAAAATGTGTTTTAGTTCAATTATCTATTATATATGTGTCTCGAATATTGTAAATTTAGCATCTTATGGTCATGAAAACTATCTATCTATTCAAAAAAAGGTTCAAGCTCTCTTGATATTTATATTTGATGGAAGTGCGCTGTTAGAATGTCTAAATTGTATTTTTAGGGGCCCTCGTAAGAGATCTACGTGAATGGCTGCACGAGATCCAACCTAAACAGTCTAGGGCGAGGCAATAAGAGTCCCCTAAACCTTTTCGGTCAAATAACTAATAGAATAAAATATGTTAAGAATATGCGCTTCCATCTATACCCAAAAATGATTGCCCTATTTATTTAGTGGACATAAATATGACAGTGTATATCGATGTCTATTTACGTGTAGGTTATTAAGTGTATTTTAGCAACTAAAACTGAGACAAAATCATTCAAAGAGAATTGCTGAGCCAATCAAAAAAGAAATTGCTATTTATGGGGATTGCTGGAAATGAGAATCTTAACGGAGCTATTTGTTTTTGAAGACACAGTTCACAAATATATCGGTTTGTTCGCTTAAAATGGACTTATGAAATGGGAAAGTTAATATTATGTATATTGGTGTGAACTACGAGTTTTCGTAAACCAGCTCCGTCACTCTAAATAATTCAATAAAGGGACCTAATGTATTAAAAAGAAGCTTACGAAACCTATTTATTATTATATTTATATACGAAAAATGTTTCTGCTAAAGTTTTTTGTATGAGCAACCGCAAATAAAATGTTTTAACTTCACCGGGAGAGATGCATAAAATCTCCTTAGAAGGTTATTGTGAAGTGACAATAAACGACAAAATCCTGACCAACAAGTATAATTTGATGTTTATAAGATTTTAAGCTGGTAAGGGTCCGAAATACAGGGCATAATCGTAGAGAAATACGCGATTTTTGCTGCTTAAAAAATATTTAACTTAGTGACTAACAAAACCTTGTTAGAAATTGATGTTATAGTGCATGTTTGTTGATATAAATAACAAAGTTTATCTTATTAATCAAAATGTAGAAAAAATGGCTAAGTACTATAGAATATACATTAATGTTTGATGTTTGACATAACTATGATATAATATTAAAATAAACCTATAAAACTCCAAGTTCTGTAGTTTTTTTTGTTACTTTATTTCTTATTTTACAGTTTGTATTAAATAATACCTCGTTCATATAAAACGTGTTAATCCACAATATAAATATCGGTAGAAGGTAGAATGTTAATCTAGGGTTGGCCAACCGTCTTCTTTTCTCTCGCGTATAGAAAAAGTCCTCTTTTTACCCACCAAACTCAAAATCTAAAAAATGATCGATCGTCTATCGCAACAGTGCGTAATAAAATTGCTCTTAGAACAATAAATTAATCTGGCAACAGCATGTCTTTTGCTAGCTCCACTCCTTCAAAAGAAATATTTACTTATGTATACAAGAAATATTGGTAGATGCATTAAGAAGGTAAAAAAGACCATTATCTGTATAACGTTTACATAACTTTTGGATAAATTCTTGACATTTAAGCGAGATTTGAACATTTTCTCGCTTGTCCCGTTTTTTTACACTCGCGTCTTCTATTTTTAATTTTCAAAGTTGCCAACCCTAGGTTAATCACAGCGACCTTACAGATTTTTTACAGATCTGCTGTGTGTTCCCCTTTCTCGAGTTATAACTCATACAGTCTCAGGGCTTTGACAAAAACCAGTATCTTAGACGGCTTCACAGAGCCCAGAGCCTTACCAAAGTTTATGGCACGAACGGCTTCCTCGGTGCACTCAATGATAAGATGTTCTGGTGTTTCCCCATTTTCCCCACAGAATCTGCATTCGCTGTTTTCTCATTGTCAGCTTCAATCTACTAAGGTGTTCGTTGAGAAGACAGTCTCCTGTTAGAAACCAGTGACAATCCGAAGACTGTTCTTACTTAAATCAAGGAAAATCTTTGATTTTTCTCGGTCGTAAGTTCTGAGAAACTTTTTCGAGTGTCTTAAACCGTTGGATGATTCCCATTCCAGGTAACGGATGGAGTCCTCCAAGTTCTTCAGTTCCACTTTAAGCTGGTTTCCGCTTGGAAAACAGAGCGGTTCTGGTCCAATTAGTGAAGTTTGCTTCTTTTCTAGCTAGAACGTTTGCTTTTTCATTGCCTTTTATCCCTTGGAGAGCGGGCACCCAGAGTAGGAGGACTTTATTTTCTTTGCCTAATTTGTTCAGCTTCTCTAGGCATTCTTTGACCAACTTCGAATTGATGTTTACTGAGTTGATCGCTTTTAGTGCTGCTTAACTATCGGATAAGATGGCTATTTCTTGTTTTCGATAGTTCTATAAATTGTACGCATTTTTCGATAGCGTAGATTTCTACCTGTAGGATACTGGTGTAGGTGCCCATTGGTTCGGAGTGTTTAGTTTTCGGGCCAAATAGGTATAGTGGTCTTTTACATACCAAGCAAACGTTTCGCTGTTCCAATCTTTTTTACTGCTCAATACTACAGTGAGGTATGGGAGTTGGAGGAGTGGAATTTTCTTTTTTGGGTATTCCAAGCCCCTGACCTATCAATACAGGGTGTCATTGAAATGGTGTAAAAAAAATCGGGGGGGGGTGATAGTATGCCTAAAAATAGTAAAAAAAGTTCCTATAAGTATAGGGCGGAAAATGCCTATTAAGGGAGTTAGGGGCACTGAAAAGGTGAATTTAAAAAACGGTTGTTTTGAAATTAGTAGGCTTAAAAAGGGAGATAAAATTTTGAAAAAAAATAGCAAATGGTGATACTGAAAAATTATTTGATACTCTTGTTGCACACCGCCCAGAGTGATGGTTTTCGAGAAAATTGAAGGCAAAGAGTTTGCTCTGATCGGTTGCAAACTGGTTAATCAACATAAACTTACGAAAGTTATGGCGGTTCAAAAGTAACCAATTAACTATCAAATAATTAATTGAAAAATCAAAATTTCATTTTTTTAAATCATCTTATTGCTTTAAAAAGCGAAATAACCCACTAGATTTCTACTTCTGGGGCCACTTGAAAGTTTTGATTTACTCAGTACCGATTAATACTGAAGAGCAACTACGGCAACGCATTATTGAGTGTTCCAATCAAATTCGGACAACACCAAGGATATTCCACGGGTAAGCAGATCTTGGAGAAGAAGAGCATATGTCTGCATTGAAATGAATGGTGGTCACTTTGAACATTTACTATAAATGAATTAAGGAATGCATTATTTTAATAAGGAATGTTGGTAATTGGTTTATTTCGTTTTTAAAGCAAAAAGGTGTTTTAAAAATCATGAAATTTTTATTTTCCAATTAATTATTTAATAACTACTTGGTTACTTTTGAACCGCCATAACTTTCATAAATTTATGTTGATTAACCAGTTAGCAACCTATCAGAGCAAACTCTTGGCCTTCAATTTTCTCGAAAACCATCACTCTGGGCGATGAGCAATAAGAGTACCTTTTTTGTAGGAAAAAGTATGTAGTTTTCAAAAAATGAACCCACGTTGTAAAAAAAATAACCTCAAAAAATTTATTCACAAAACAACCCCCCGCTCTTGCAAAAACTAGCCTTTCCGCTTTTCCAAATCATTTTTCAATCACCATTTGATTTAGGGTAAAAATTTATGGCTGAGGATTTTTTTTCAAAATTTTATCTCGTTTTTTAAGCGTACAATTTCAAAACAACCGTTTTTTAAATTCACCCTTTCAGTGCCCCTAACTCCCTTAATATGCATTTTCCGCTCTATACTTATAGGAACTTTTTTTACTATTTTTAGTACTCTCACCCCTCGATTTTTTTTACATCATTTCAATGACACCCTGGATAGGTAACAAAATCACCTCGTGGATTTGATCAAGGAATGTCTAAATCAACTTTTCATAAATAACATGCTTCTTATTCTTGCGCATTTTAATAAAATTAATAAACATTTTCCGTGAATATAATTAAAATTCCAGTCTGAATGAATTTGGCTATAACTTGAAAATGCTAATTCAAGCAGTAATTTTGTAATATTTACTTCAATATTTGCTTTTTCCATTAAATTTAAAAAAGTCATATTTGCTAGTGGCGAATAAAAAAAATAAAATTTAAAATAAAAATAAAGAGTAAAAGAAATATAATTTAAAACAAAAAATTGCTAACCGACACGTTAATATTTCACACCATATTTTTAGTTGCATATAAAATCGTTAATAATTGATTGACCTTACACGATTATATCGCTGTTAATTGAAGCAAATAATAAACTCTATACAATTAAAAAAAATTATACATAAATAAGCTTGAGGCTAGGAAGTGTCGTTCGTCCATACTGTATTATAATTATTATGTAGTCAGTATACATAATACGAAAGAAACTAAAGTTATTGTTAGTTTCGCTGAACAACAAATAGGAAGTGATATAAGAACGATTTACTGCAAAAATGTCGAAGTTACATACTGTAACAAACGGTTTCTAGAGTCCACTAACCACACATTTACTTAACAAGACCAGATTTAAAAATTTATATAAAAGGTAGTTAAAAACCAACTTTATCGATTTCATAGTGGAAGGTTGAGAAAAAATACGAATAATTAAAAGAAATATCGATGCAGTTATGAAATTTACAATATTATATTTATACAGTGTGTTTCAAAAAACATGTGTCATCTCTCGTAGGGAGATTTCTTACGTAAAAATTAGATTTATTTCTTACATCAACATAGTTCCGATTCTGCTTTATTTCGTAGCTATATAGTGTCAAAGTCTTAATTTTTTTTTCAATTTATTATAATTTTTTTCCAAGTACTTTTAGTCGATTCGAATAAAATTTTAAGAGTAAAAGTTACTATAAGTGCAACATATTTTAATGCTAAAAAAGGGATGACAGATTCACCATGAACGTGCATATGAGTTATCACTGGAATATTTTTCTAAAAAAATCTTGTGCGCCACTGACTTTTTTCTCTTGTTAGCACAGTAGTTGGGTTTGTGTTAACTATAATATTCTTTGGCCGTAGTTGGGTTTGCAGGTACATTCTGTTGACCGATGAGTTGAGATGATGCAGCCGGTACCTTGGGAGTGTAATTTTAATCATAATTATATTATTATTATTTGGTTAATTTTAACATGTAGATTTAATAAAAGCGAATATAAGCTATCTAGACATGCCTAGTAATTGGATATTTCTAAAAATCTGTAGATTATTGTAGAAACACCGTATTATGGGTAGTTGACATATTTTTCCAAAAGTTGTTGTTTTGCTGATTTGACTAGCGATTTTATCTGACTAGTCATTATCCTGATAGATTCCTTGTCATCAGCAACAAACTCGCACATCTAGAAGAATACTTAAGTAAAAATAACAGAACACCGACTCTGCGTTTCCTTCTGGGGCTAATCTTTTTCACAGTAATATACGCTCAAAAAACAAAATTTAAATATAAGGTAGGAAAGTAGTTCTCGCTTTTTGCAAACATCAATGCGACATAAACCAAGTTATGAGATGGACAACTTGAAGGAAATAGGAAACCTAAGGCGCTATCTATTGGAACTGCACCATTAAATTTTGGTGCGATTCTAATCTCCTATGCCTCAACCTATCAAAAACTAAAGTTTTTTATATAAAAGTACTATACAACATATAACCTTTTGTACTTAATAACACCACTGTTGACGTCGTGGAAATTTTATTGATACGCATTTTTTTGTGTTCTACTTTCCATGTATGTATATTCTATTTGTAATTGTAAATTGTAATGACGTAAATTTTTTTGAATTGTATGATTTGTATTATATGATGTTTTTTATTTTTTGTTATTTGTATATTTTTTGTGCTTTTGTTTGTTTTGTAAATGCTTTGTCGATAAAGCTACCAAAGTAAAGCGTTATTTATTATCATTATTATTATAAGGCACAGCAAAGTGTTAGCATATATCAAACCAGAATAACTCATGATTGTCAGCTTCATCCGTGATAGCTACGGCTACAACCTGTCGCATTACCTTTAGCTGCAAATTGGTGTCTTAGGTGTCCTGTTTGCAACTTGTTTCTCTCCATGTCCAAGTCGCCAATCCCATAACCGGCCTGTTGCTCTCTGTCTAAAGGCGAGAAAGATACAATTACGA